TTACCGCTACAATAACTGATTTCTTACTAACCTGCATAATATCTTTATTTATTACCTTTGTTATCATTTCAACGTTATTTTTTTTCTTTTTATTTCCATCGCCAAAACAGCCCCATCTATTGTTTCTAAATACATACTGCCATCGTTATAACTTCACAATAACAACGATCCCTTACATAAATAAACTAAACATGTGTTAAAGTCATTAAAAAAAAACGTCAGAACACGAAGATCTAAGGAAAATTTATCCATAACTGAGAAGAGAAAAGAGAGGTTTACGCATAGTGTCCGTATATGCCAAGAGGTACTGTACGTGTTTGTGTGCGTACGTGTAAAATGCGTGTATGTATGTCCTGTCCTTCCTGTCTCCTTCCTTACCCTTCCTAAATGGACGCTTCATAATCCTCTTGTCCGGACATCGGTTATATTCAGGCGTTTCCATAGCCCAAGCACATGTACTTTATTGTAGTATATATTTACGTATCATCTGTCTATCTTCTCTGTGTATCTAATTACCCATATCTCTTCTCTCTCTGTCTCTGTCTCTGTCTCTGTCTCTGTCTCTGTCTCTGGCTCTGTCTCTCTCTCTCTCTCTCTCTCTCTCTCTCTCTCTCTCTCTCTCTCTCTCTATATATATATATATATATATATATATATATATATATATATATACAGAGAAATAGATTAGGTTATAAACAAATCCAGAAGAAACCAGATGAAAAAAACTCAACACCAACAAAAAACAAAAATCCAACGCAAAGATAACAACAACAACGTTAACAACCCAAAACGACATATAAAAAAAGACAGGAGAGGAATAGAGAGCTTGGAAAAGAGACCATCTGAGCCAGCGAAGAGGCGGAGAAGACAAGCGAGGTGTAGTTGTGACGTCTTTGCCTCATTAAGGATCACGTCCTGGCTGTAACGCCCCCAGTCTCGCTATCTGCACGCATGCCACCCCTGATAACGCGTCCTTCTCGGTCCTCGCTGGTCCTCGACGTGTGCGCTTTATTTATTCATTTATTTTACCTTTTTTTTAAGTCATTTTCTTAAAGATGGGGGGTGAGTATGGGATGAGGTGGAGGATTAGCGTTGTGATTTTGTTTATCTTTTTATTTTTGTATTTTCTCTTCTGAGGGAGGAATGAGAGGTAAGAAGGGAGAGAAGAAGAGTTGAAATGTAATCCAGGATGTATGAAGATAGAGAGGAAGGAGAGGATTAAGGATTATGGACGAGACTCTTCGAGATATGCTCTGGCCATCATGCATAGCTCGCTGATTGCACTTATCTCTCAGGTCCATAACTTCAGATGATATCTCGCGAAACTTGTCATGTCATACTTTGTGTCTAAAACTCATTCCTTCACGCTAATTGTCTCGCTATTAGCTTCCTCCTCTCCGTATCTTATACCTCTGACGCGGACCCAGTATACTTTGACACATTCTTGGATCATATGTATCATGCGAAGCACAGAATATGCTTATAAAGACATCATGTGCGACGTCCGGCTCGGTATATCTGATTCATGGACGTCTTAATTCGAGGAACCCACAGTCAGGGGCGGTTTAACACTTGAACTTATTAAAAGGGTTAACTTCAGTCATAAACATCTGGAATTAAAGACATACCTTGATACGTTACAATGTATACATATATAAGCAGTTCGTTATTGTAATTATAACCACCAGCATTACCACAGCTACAACCACAGGCACACCTATCAGTATAAAAAAGGTAATAGACGCAGATAAACCACAGATATTCACATCCACACATTCTCGGCCACAACCAGATTCATTGATAAAAAGAAAAACTATAACAGCACTCGCAAAACAAGATTGCAAGCAAAAACACAATTAGCCAGACCATTAGTAGATTACAACTCCACTCAAAGTTCTTCTAGAAACCACGGCCATGCACGCATCCACAACTACACTTATAAACAACCACACACATACAAACCTGCAACTACAACCCTACAACCCATTCATCCACGAAACCAACCGATACGCCCATCCACAACCCACGACCATTCCCATTGTCCCTCCCATGGCAAAGGCCTAGCCACCCCCATTAACCTTCCGATGACAAGGACCCCATGTCACAAGTTCCCCTCCCCCTCCCCCCATATCACAAGTTCCTCTCCCTCACCCCCCGCCCCATGTCACAAGTCCCCCTCCCTCACTCCCTGCCCCATGTCACAAGTTCATCCCCCTCCCTCACCCCTCACCTCCCCCTCCCGCACCATGTCACAAGTCCCCCTCCCCCTCCCCCTTCCCCCCTCATCCCCTGCCCCATGTCACAAGTTCCTTCCCATACCCACCCTCCTTCTCCCCCAACCCCATGCTTAGCCCCTGCCTGAAAGCGAGAGGCTCCTTCACATCTCCGTATCAGTGATAAAGGTTCTGTGAGCGGTAAATCGTCCAGGAATCTTCCCATGATGCCATTAGAGCCCGCGCTGATAACAGAACTCGGTTTTTATCTGCCCGCGTACGTCATG